CCTACCTGGGGAAACAACCTTTCTCGGAGAGGTGACCTTGGTTAAAACACATAGCGCCAAGAAGGGGAGCAAACATATTAAGAACAGTATGCCATATACGCCAGGTCCCTTGAAACATATGCTGTGCAGATGTTTCTTCTCTGCAGTGACTGTGTCAAGCAGCAAGGATGGACCGGCTCCCGGCACAGTGGGGCACTCTGAGGCCCTAGGAGGTACCGAAGTCTGGGTTTGTGAAAGACTGAAGGGCAGAGCCTTTCGCCTACTCTTGCATTCCGATCTCATGCCACCTGACAAGCAAGCAAAAAGCAAACCATTCATAAATTAAGGCACAGAGATTTTGAAATCGTTACCATGATTACCACCATTATTCCTGATTAAAAACAAGAATCCAAAATAAAAACAAAATAAAACTGCTGTAGTCTTCAGTTATAGTAATAGAAATATAACATACAGATTAATGGGAAGTGATATTTTGGAAGAAGATACTAAATGACTTAACTAAGTTTTTACAGTCTGTTAGTAGGATTTTAGACCACATCTATAGCATGGTTTTTAGTTCTTGGCTTCACACAGAAAAAATATGGGCATATTGAATGAGTTCTTGGCATACAGTAGGCACTCAAATTTTTGTCAAATGAATAGATATTGAACTGTATACTGTATACATTCAGTGGCATGAATACATGGAGGGATGGTTACCTGAATCCATGTCCTATTAAGGGTGTTTGGAGGAGCTAGGATTGTATATCTGGGAGAAAGGGAGATAGGATGGGTATCACCAACTATTAAAAGTATTATTTTGTAGACAAAAGATCAATTCTCTGGGATCCCATGAGGTGAAACTGGAATAAACAGGTTGAAGTTAGAGTAAGACATTTCTGTTCATTGTGCAAAAATAAAAATATGGAGTTTTCCCATCAGTCAGAGATGGTCAGAGGAGAAATGACCCCTTACAGTATTGGAAATGTTTAAGCAAAGAGTGAGTGACCATAAGTTGGGGGATATTATTGAAGAAACTCAAGCACTGAATGGAATGCTGAATAAGATGCTCCTTGAGACCTCTAACAACCTTACTTACCTGGTTCTAACTTAAATTTCATCTAGAAATAATATCAACAAGGGCAGTGAACACAGAGTCCTGATGTCAGCCACACCTGACTTGTCTACAGTGAGAGAAGAAAAAGTCCCTTCCATCTTTTAAGTAGTAGTCACTCTTCTGTGCCTCACAGAGCAGGGGTTTCCACCTTCCTCCTGTCATCTCCAGGTTGCTAAGTGTGGCTCTGCCTGATAGTTTTCTCTTGTGAAAATGACATTCACAGGAGGGCTTTGTTTTAAAAGGTGGTCCTGAACTACCGTGGAGAATTTTTAAGTGAAGCTCGGTTGATTTGACATCTATTGCGACATTATGTTGTGTTGTGCTGAGAGCCCACAAAATGCCAGGAGCTCTTTCGATTGCAGGTGTCTTCATGCAGGTTCCAGCATAAGCTGTTACAGTTAGCTCTGCCACCGGAGTCAGCGAGGAGTGTCAGCCCAGCTCTGGGCACACGGTGACTTGTAGGAAAACATCTCCTTGTGTGAATGTTCCCATTCACAACAGTAGGTCCCTGCAATTGGTTTTCTTGAGAGGATATTGTAATGATGAAAGAGAACACGTATGAAATTGCTTTGAGTTTTTAGAGGAAATAAAAGAAACCTCGGATGGTACAGCCAACATTTACTCCACCCATTGTTTTAAGAAAACATGTGGAGACTGAAGGATGCTTGCCAGCTACGTCTTCAACTAAGAAGTTAATATGGTAGATCTAAAACATTTAAGATTCCCTTTGTTGCTGTGCTAATATGTGCAAATCAGAGTTCTTTACTGAAAAACAACTATTTGTTTGAGGGTGAGTTGGCTGAATAGCTGGTATTTAGTAAAATTAATAAGGGGTAAGATTAGGAGCTTAGTGGAAATTTCCATCTGGTACAATTGTAAAGAGATACAGAAATAGGAGGATAAAGAGCATGTTATACATTTCTCTAAGAAAGGATGTAAATTTAAAAGAAGTAGTGTGCTGAAGTTTGATGACAGTTTTTGGGAAATATTTAGATAATTTCTGCTGTCATTCCAAGGGGGCTGTTCACCCCTCTGAAACTTTTAATGCCTTAGTATGCTCTGCAAATACTTTCTGAGTAAACACTGGGAATGAGTGAGTTGAAGTTTAAAATGAATGCTTCATTTTATTCACAGTTGTCATGCATCCTATTTCCAATACCACTCTGGCAGGAAAAGCTCTAATTTGAGAGAAACACCAGATAGTTCCACCTAATATAATGAAATCAGCAGGATTCGAGGCTCTCCACAGTCTCCTCATTTGCTCTGCTAACAAAGGCTTTGCTTCCGTTCAGGAAACACATCTCAGTGAATGTGTCAGGTCCTTTGCAGGGCATGAAGGACACAAGGGAAGCATGGCACACAGTCCCTGACTCAGAGGAGCTCACAGTCCAGAACTACTGTGAGAAGATTTAGCCAATGCCCTAATACTGGGCTTAGAATAAATTGGAGGCTAGATTAACCAGGAACATCCTGAGAACAGTTACTTAGCTTTGATGATTCATTTCTTGAATCTTTCTATTTCTTGAAAATATCCTCTTGGGCTGTGAGTCCCATCATCCTTATGCAGCCCTTTTAGGTACAGAAATAAAATACTTCAGGTTCAAAGGATGCTCTTTATTCATGCTGATCAGTGGAGGGCTCTGCATTTTGAGCAGATTTGAATAATTTCATCCCCACTGGCTGCTCTTCCCACACTTAAGAGCATTTGCAGCTGTGTAGACTGAATTGTGTCCCCTCCAAATTTATGTTGAATCGCTAACTCATAGTACCCTAGAATATTAAACTGTATTTGAAGATAAGATGTTTAAAGAGGTAATCATGGTTAAATGAGCCCTCACCCAATATGACTGGCATCCTTATGAGAAGATGGAGAGGTGCCAGGAATGGACAAACTCAGAGGAAAGGCCATGTGAGGACACAGTGAGAAGGTGGCCATCTGCAAGCCAAAGAGAGCGATCTGAGGAGAAACCAAACGGGCTGACACCTTGATCTTGGGCTTCTAACCTCCAGAACTGTGAGGAAATAAATTTTTGTTGTTTAAGCCACTCAGTATGATTGCAAATTGGTGCAGCCACAATGGAAAACAGTATGGAGACGTCTCAAAAAATTAAAACTATATCTGGCATACAACCCAGCAATTCCACTTCTGGGTATTTATCTGAAGAAAATGAAAACACTAATTTGAAAAGATATATGAACCTCTATGATCATTGTAGCATTATTTACAATAGCCAAGATATGGAAGCAATCTAGGTGTCCATCAATAAATGAATGGATAAATAAGATGTGAAACACACACACACACACACACACACACACACACACACTGGAATATTATGCAGCAATAAAAAAGAATGATATCTTGCCATTTGTGAGAACATAAGTGGACCTAGGGAATATTATGCTAAGTGAAATAAGTCAGACAGAGAAAGACAAATATGGTTTCACTTAAATCTGGAATTTATAAACAAATGAACAAACAAAACAAAGTAAAAACAGACTCATAGAAACCGAGACCAAAGTAATGGTTGCCAGAAGGGAGGGATGTGGAGGGAATGGGTGAAACAGTTGAAGGGAAATATAGTTAATAATATTGTGATAAGTTTACACAGTGACAAATGATAACTAGAATTAGTGGGGTCATCACATTGTAAGGTATAAAAGTGTCAAGTCACGATCTTGTACACCTGACACTAATATAACCAATGCAGGATTGTATGCCAACTATACTTAAATTAAAAAATAAAAAGAGACTTTCAGAATCATTAAGCAAAAAACCCACATAGTCTGTGGCATTTCGCTATGGCAGTCCCAGCTGGCTAAGACAGCAGCTGTTTTTGATACTGCTTCATTTTAAGTAAAGTTGCCAGATTAGTAGTTACTCCTGAATTCTCCTCCAGGTTCTGCACATAGTCCTTTGGAGTCCCAACCATTCTTTTGTGCCACTGTAATCAAAATTATTTAACTATTTTTTTCCAGGCTTGCCATAGGATTGGAAAAATTTCAAGGCTGAAGAGGAAGAGAAAATTCATTTTTCTATCTGAATACTGCAAATGTCACTTGTAAGAAAAGGCTTGATTGTCCCATTGTTCTCACCCCAGGAGACAGGGATGGAGAATGTGGCTGAGACATAATGTTAAGTCCCCACAGTGATCATCAAGTCTCACAGAATGTACCAAAGAAAGTGCACTACTGGGAGTAGTGACGGGGCAACATTGGGTTAACTTCTTAAAATCCCTGGCATTGGAAGTGTCCCTGCAGGAACTTCATAAAGACAGGTATATGCTAAGGCAGAAACACTGATAGGAGTTCAAATGAAAGAAATGACATGAAATTGCATTTCCTAAGGAGGAAGATAACACTCAGGAACATGAAATGATTTAATTATACTTGAAAGAACTTTTTGAGCTAAAAATGCAGCAGAAGCAAAGCGTGTTGGGATATAAGTTTGAGAAAGCAGCCGTAAGAAAAAAAATTTGAAACCAAAGTATACAGTGTCTGTAATCACCCATGACCTTCGTGAGGGCAAAGAAGACCCTCCAGGAACATCAATTTTGCTTTTCCTTGGGCAAGGACCTGAAAAACAGAATAGTAATTTT